CTATCCTACCCTAACCCTTTATATAAGGAAACATGCAGCATCCGTAGACTGCACTAGACATGGGAGCTGGCTCGGAGCTCGTCTGCCTGGCTGTGTGTTTCCTGGACGGGGCCGCCTGTGGAGCTGGTTGACAGCTGCCTTTTGTATCTATGCTTCTTTTTCTATGTCTGCTTCTGTCTCCTTGAACCCCAGTGGGCCTCAGCAGATGGCCGCTCACACTGAGCCTGGTTCTGCTGGAGGTTTCTTCCTGTTCAAAGGGAGTTCTTCCTCTCCACTGTCGCTACAAGCATGCTTAGTGTGAGGGATTGCTGAAGAGTCAATGAGTCGATGCAATCAGCTGGTTTTCCTTAGATAGAAACTTTTAATCAATCTGACTGGATGATCTGGTTGATCTGGATCTATAAAGTGACCTGAGATGACATGATGTGAATTGGAGCTATAGAAATAAACTGAATAGAATTGAATACAAACCATCTCTGCTGTCCAGTAGTTCCTCTTTGTGTTCCTCCAGCGGTTCTGACTGATGAAGATGATCATAATAAAGAAAAGCCTGAATTACTCCATAATGCAGCCTTTTATCTATGGCCCTCCACCCCCCTTCCTCACTTTACTTTCATTTTTCATTTTAACACGTAAAAACAACTCTTTTCTTTTTCTCTAAACTAATCTAACCTAATCAAATATCAAATCTGAATAAATACCTGTTTTGTAATGATGCCTGTGGTGTCTATCTATTTTAGAGCTATGTGTATGTAACAAACTATTTAAAGCATATTCTAAACTAATATATAAATATTTTAACCCAGGATTTTGATGCCATTTTTAATGTTTGAGCGGCAGTATTTAAATGTCCAGATTATATGAAGATCAGGTGGGCTTTAAGGAGGTAGAGTTCTCATAAATATTATGTTTGCTTGTTTAGAGTAAACATATTTGTTGATATCCTTGCTAAATGACTATGCTATTTCTCAATGTCAAATTAACATAGATTTAACTTTACTTTATATTAATAGGAAATAAGCAGCAAGAAGAAACAAAAAGTTCTTCTAATTAAATTAAACTGGGTTTGATCTCAGATGTGACATCACCGATACCCGATCCAGTTAATTAGTCAATATCGGAGCTGAAACCAGATCCAGGAATCAGATCGGTGCATCTCTAACTATAACTTATAGTATTTTCTTATATAAATTTGATATTTCCACAGGAACAAAGAGGGAGGAAAATTAGACACATTTTTACATGTACAAATGTACGGAAGCTGAGAGCGGTCGTCTCCCTCCAAAGCTTTTTCACAGTGGTTTTCTCCAGAAAACGAGTTAATTTTCTCATTATCTAAAGACAACGAGAGCCGTTTTCTCATCATAATGAGGCGATTGATGTGTGTTAAAACTAATAACATCCTTCAAAACCACAACAGCGGGAGAGGTTTAATAAATCATGTAATTCTGTAATTAATCCTTAACTTTTAGGTATCGAGACGACGTTGGTTTGATGATTTGCTTTCAGTTCTTCGTATAAAACCCAGATTAACGACTTAAAGGACATAGGTTGGGGACCAGCACCGCCAGGTTCTTCCCTCAGAGCTCGGTTCACTAAATATTTAATCTCCCATGAGAGAGCGTGCAGCTGGAGGGCACAATGGAAACCCGTTCTTTGTCAGCATCATGTGGTGAATAGAGTCAGGATCCCTAGAATATGGGCAGGAAGAAATGGATAGCTTAATCTGTGAACCAACAAGAACCAGTGGGATTAGCGTGAGTTAAGACGTTTAGCAGATGGTCCAGAGCAATATCCTGAGCTCTCCAGCCAGGTAGACCATTCCCAAATATTTCATTTAATGTCTAGGAGCTCTTGATCCTCCACATCATAAACTCCATCAGGGGGAGATAGATAAAAATGCACAGGGGGTGTAGTCTACTGCCAGACTCAGTTTCATCAGACAGCTCTCGCTCCAGAGTCTGAGGCAGTGATTTCTGAGACTAATTGCTTAGATGGATCATGATGGATCAAAATAGAAGCTTTGGAGAATTCCTCCTTTAATGAATGAACGGCTCCATCAGCCGCTTCGGTCCCGATGAGGGGAGTTTTGCTTCAGGTCAGAGAGGTTCATGGAGCTGCTGTCTGGCTGTAATTGGGAATAAATGTGAGGTAGATGATGACATGGCGGCGGGAAGTGGGGGTGCTGCAGCGATCCCCTAGTGGCGAGAGGGAGATTTTCTTTTAAATGTACAAAAAAATATTTTGCACAATTTTAAGTTTCTTATGAATATTTTGGGAAACGATTTGGACTTTTTTATTTTACTATTACGTGTCTTTGGATTTTAATTGAATTGTTTTGAAGCCTGATCAACACAAGTTCACGGAAGTTACGTTGTCATGGCAACGTCAAGCAAGCTAGTGGTCACAGAATAAAGAGGCATCCGACTCACGGCAGCAGACTAGTAGATTTACATGGTCTAATGACAGAAATGAGGAGGAAATATTTTTTTTTGGAAAACCACCACCGGTAAGGAAGAACAATAAAACCGCAACCATGACAACGGAGAGCGAGGATACTGTCCGCGCGCCTCTGTTGGCGGTTGCACCGGTGGGCCCAGCCCAGCACCCGCATCCCAACCTAACGTGATAGGATTAGCCAAGCGTTTCCAGCCAATATCCAGTTTCAAATTTCCTGCAAAGCATGAGGATAATGAAACGTTCTCACGTTCTGTGGCATCGGCTTGGTTTGCTAGGTGGCAGTGGCTGCATTATGTGGAAGAAACTGAGCACATTTAGTGTTTCGTTTGTCTGAAAGCAGTCCGAAAAATAAGTCAACCCTCCCTTCGGACAAGCAGGAGTCCGAAGCCTGGTCAGGAAAACAGATCAGAACAGGAACAGGTAGGCTCAGTGGTAGAGAGGCAGAACAGGTCAGGATCAGGCAATCAGAAACACTCAGGTACGCTAAAAAACACTCTCACCACTGGTACGAGAGAACTAGATCATTTGGCCCTAATAACTGGATGCAAGCGCCTTAAATAGAGGCAGGGGCAGGTGGATCAGATGAGCAGTGATTCTAAACTGGGCAGGGTTGGACAGGTGAATGGAATGAATAATTAAGCCAGTCATCATTTCAATTTAAGCAACCTTGTAAGAAAACCTTCTTTCCTTGTTTGTTTGCATATTATTCTTTTATGAATAACCAGCCCATTCAGTCAGGGTTTTCACCAGGAATGGCTGCTATTTCAAACAAACATCTATATGTTTGTGCATTTTTTTCGTACACAGTTGCTCCATAATTCTTCCCGACGTGTTTAGGATATTTGGAAACTCTGGGATGCGTGTAGTTTCATGGTTATTTCAAGCAGGAGACTGATGCATGGCTTATCTATGCAGAAGATAAAACAGAGCTCATCACAACTACATGATATAGAACGTTTTCAATTAAAGTGTGAATAAAAATGCTCAAAGACAGAGAGCATTGTAACACAAAATGAAATGAAAGTTTCAGTAAAATGGATTTCTCTCTTGTTATCCAGTTTAGCTATCACCTTGGTCCATTCATGGACAAGGATTAGTTGGCATCAAAGGTAAACATGAACTTTATAATGATGCTGAGTCATAAACCCTGAAGACCACACAGGGGTGGATTCAGGAAATGTGGGGCCCTAGGCAAAGACAGGCAGGGGCCCCTCTGAATGGAGAAGACATCACATAGAACAGCCCCATTCTACAGATAGAGAAATGTTAATAGAATAGACACCTCTCTCCTTGTCCCTTTTCTTCTTGTTTTCCTCAGCTCACTTAGCTGATTGCTCCTTCCTGTGTTTCCAAAAAGGCCAAAGTAAATAACCCAGTCCTTCTTTTCACTGTAGACAAGCCATGATCTGCTTCTCTGTTCTCCATTTTTCATTTGGATGAAATAATAGCTGCATGAATCATGACAGCAGACAAGATAGAGGAGAGCAGGAGGCGGGGTTACCAATCTACTCGCTCTGGAGAGCAGAGTTCGCTGCTTTTAGATTTTGTCTCCAAAGTCTCCAGTAGCAGAAAAAAGTCTCTAGATTTGGCGCTAGGAGCTTTTTAGAAATCAAAGTGCTAGAGGGGTCTGAAAAGTGGCTAAATATAGCGACTAAAGCGCTAAGTTGGCAACACTGCTCTTTGAATCGTTTGTTTTCAAATGGTTTGCTGCTGTCTGTTTGGACCTTTCTGAACATGTGCAGCAAATGGACTGATCCAATATGGGGGACACTGAAGAGGGGGGGGGGGGCGATTTGGGGCTGAGACACACTTAATATTATCAGCGTTCTGATGGTATTTTAGCCAAAGGTTTTTTATCAAAAACATAATTATGATTATAAATAAGGAATAGTTGTATTAACCATACATGTAAACAGAGTTTTATGGGGCCCCCAGGAACTTGGGGCCCTAAGCAGCTGCCTGGTATTGCCTAATGGTAAATCCCCCCTTGGACCACCTACCCCAATGAAGAGGAGTTGTATATGTCCAATATAAAATCTGTCAATTTCTGTTTAAACCAACAGATTTGGGTTTGTTTTCCTCCTCTCATGCTCCTAATCTCTTTAGCTTTAAATCTGACTGAGTAAAGCAGCAGTAGTTTTTTTCACACTAAATCAGAACCTTACAAAGTGCTGCTCTCTGAATACTGTAGAGGTGTCACTTGTCTGATTATTGGAATGCTTCTGGTTTTAAACGTAGACATTTTGCTGCCGGGCTTTAAATAGCCATGATGACCGCAGAATGTTTGGTAGCGAGGCCATGCCAAGAAGTGTGCAGTTTGTGTTGGTCTGGAGAGTGGCATCGCAGGGCAACAGTGAATAGCTGCGCTATTGCATCCTCCCTGGAGAGCTCTGAAACACAGCGCCTCAGTCTACCCGCCTCCTTCATCCCCCTGGAGAAAAAAGAAGAAATAAAAACCTCCCATCCTGATGGCATACCTCTCCATCCTGGCACCGCCCCTCAGCTAAAGTCGGCGCACACGGCCTGCGCTCATCAGAGGCGCAGTGCGCAGGAGCCGCTCTGAGGGCGCATGTGGAGACGCGCGCTGACGGGACGGAGCAGGACAGGAGGAGGAAAAGCAGCTTCACCTCCCTGAGATTTTAACAATGCTGAGCAGAACAGTGACCCTGAAACCATCCAGTTAAATGCTCTATTTTTGGTTTTTGCTCATTTCTTTCCATCCATACCTGAGCGCTGTCGCCGCTCATTGGGAGCTCAGAGTGGCAGCGGGCGGGACGGGATCCCCTGGATGCGGGACGATGGATTAAAATCCCTCCGTGGATCCAGCAGCAGTCGGGATTATTTGGCCGGTCGGACCTCCTCTCTCTGCCTGCCGAGATGAGCCAGGATCACTTTCTGCGCTGCGCCCTGATGCTCTGCTGCGCGCTGCTCTCCGCCAGCGCCAGCAACTGGCTGTAAGTTGGTCCGGAGCTTCCAAAGCGCACACATCACCAGATGTCAGGTTAGCTGCGGCTCAGCGGCCGCTCAGGTTAATGGTTAACCATCATCAGCTCACTCTCACCAACCAAGGGAAGAAATGTGCAAAAAGAAACCAAGGTTGGGCTTTAAACAGAAAAACATCTCAGGAAATATTTTAACAATTCAGAAGTAAACATTTGGTGTAAGAAAATAATATTACTTTATTCCCCCCAAAACAATTAGGTTTGAGATTCTGGCCTTCAGTGAAGTCTGTCAAATATTTATTTTTCCAATGAAGGGACACTTTGATGCTTTTATTCTGCATCTTCTTAAGCAGTGAGCAGCAGCTCTTAATAAGTCTTATTTTTTAAATAAGTGCATTTTTTTTCCTTTAATTGAGGAGGTAAGTGAGACACTTCACCAATGAAACAAGACAATTTACATTTAAAATAAGAAAAAAGCAATTGCATTGTCTTAATTCAAGCGAATTTTATCTAATTATCTTATTTTAAGAGCAAAGTTACTCATTCTATTGGCAAATTATCTTATTTACCTGCTCAAATTAAAGGTAAATATTCGTTGTATAAGATTTTAAATGCTAAAAAAAAAAAAAAAAAAAAAAAAGATTTTAAATGCTAGAAACCCCCCCCCACCCCCCCCCCCCCCCAAAAAAAAAACAAAAAACTCCCAGCTACTAACACCACAACCCCAAAAAATTCAAAAAAGTTACATTTATTTTAGTTTTGAAAAGTTTTAGACAAAATAGAGGATTAAACTAAGCCAGAATTATTTTTCCTTTTGAAATTACAATTACAGAAAAGCTTGCTGAGTAGCAACAGGTGGAGGAGGGGTCAGGCTGTATAGGCTCAAACCATTGAACGGATGCTTTAGTCAGGCAAAATGTTTTAAAAAGAACTTTATTCATTCCTGATGGAAAGTTTTAGCAAGTTTGAAACTGCATTAAGTTCCTTACCGTGGTTCATGTTTATAGCTGTTCAGTAATATTTAGTTCCAGGGAATGTGATGAGATGTACTGAATAGAAATACTAATTTGTTTAATTAAACCTTCGGTTCTCTGGTGAGAGATTAAGACTAGGTACTATGTTTGGACACAGTTTTATACATTTTGGAGGTTTCTTCTTGTTTTTTCCTCTGGATTCTCAGTGTGGGGGATTGCTGTAGAGTCAATAAAAAAGGAAGCTAGTCCTGTCGCTGTCAGCTCATCCAGGGGAAGCATGTCCTGCAAGTCAATGACTGGATGCAATCAGCTGGTTCTCCCTAATAGAAACGTTTAACCAGACTGACTGTATTGTCTCTGCTAAGAACATGACGTGTTTTATGAACGGGCTCTATATAAATGAACTCCATTAAATCTGATGTACTTTATCAGTAACGTCGCTAATAACACAGGGAGAAAAGAACAGCTGAAGATTGCTGTGATTGAAATGAAATTCATTTCTCTAGATGTCATTCAGAGGCTGAAAGAAGCTGTGAGTCCCTGCTGACTGAGCTGCATGGGGCCACCTCCTCCTGGGACCAGGGAGCCGGTTGGTTGGGCCACATGTGTCTGCCTGCTCTCCCAGTAGACCTGTGGGAGGTGTTTACTTCACCTTCTGCATTCCTCTGCTAAATTCTCTGCTGCCATTCATCTCCACTACCTGCTAGAATAGTTTCTGTTTTTTTGTTGTTTTTTTTAGGGGTGGGGGGGCTTTTTGTTTCCCCCTCCCTCCTTCAGCTCAGTTGATACCAAGTACACTTGCCTCTGAAAGCCATTATTAGGTGACAAATCACCTCTGTCACAAATGTCTGCTCCAAACACGCTTTCATTTCTCCATTCCAGCGTAGCGGCGACCTTGCGAGATTTCTAACGGCCTTCTGTGTTTGCACCGGGATCGTGCTGCAGACAGGCTAACTGACACTGTTGACAGATTCATCAGTGTAAGTCCAATTAAAGCCATGCCAAACAGCACTAGCTGCCTTGAACTCTGTCACCGAGCGCAGGATAATTGTGCTGTTTGGGAGCTGAAGGTGTGGTGACAGCAGCACACAGCAGGGCATGTAGGGGCAGGCCGCCGAGCTGCCGCTCTTCGCTCTGGGATTTACACTGTTCAGACAGATCTGTGGCCCGGCTGTGTGGTCTGTAGCAGAGTCAGCGAGGCTTCGGCGAGGGTCAAAAGATGGCCAGCAGTTAGAAGGCTGTTAACAAGAGGCTATAAAACATGTGACAACTACAAAATGTGACAGCTTAATGTATGCGGCCTGCGACAGCCTCGACAGACCCCTGAAACCACTAAGAACAGATCAGATTAGGACTGAAACAGTTCATCAGATTAATCGATTATTGAAATCATCGTCAACTAGTTTAGTAATCGATTAATCATTAACTGGAGTATAGAGACTGTAAAACATTTCTTTAGCTGACACCAAAATTATAAAAAAATGTATCATCTGTCAATCTGCTCTATCCAGAACTCCTCCAGTGGAAAAGTTAAAGTTTTACTGGGGTTAAATTATAAAAAGTCTTCTTTAAGATACCTCTGTCTATCTAATTATTAATTGATTAATCGAGAAAATAATCGACAGATAAATCGATTTGCTAAATAATAGTTGCAGCCCTACATCAGGCAATGATCCACTTCCTGTGTATCACTTATTTCATCAATTGTTCCAAAAGAGTTAAAAATCCGCTGGACTTTGTTTCCAAGTTTGAAGACGTTTCTCTTCCATCCAGGAAAATTTTCAATTCAAAATGTCAGAAATAGCGTTGAGTTCCAGGTTTTATCTAGCGGCCCAACAAAGCCTGGTTTATGTTTAGAAAACATGCAAATAGAAACGGATGAACGGTTCCCCCCCTTTGGAATGGGGGTCGATTGGCTTCTTTGTTAGCCTGCAATGCCCCATACCTGTCTATGTCGTCGATGGTTGATGTGCATCAAGGCGCAGCTAAAGGTCCTGCAGCATCTAGAGCAGCGACTTCTGAGCTTCTGAGCATCTGAGATGCTTCACAAGCAGAAACTGCTGGAGTTGGAAACGTTGAACTTTAGTTGCTGGATGCGCCGCATCAACCAATCAGAGAAGCTGATCTGGGAGCTGGCAGGGAGTCAGACACAGCACTGCTGATGCAGAGCGCTATGATCACTCCTCTGAAACTGTTTATTAACGCCTAAATTAACTTCAAATATCGAAACCTGCCGGCTTCATTTTTACTGCTTGTACCAGTTTAGTTCTGACGAGCGGCTGAAGCATCTTTGCTGCTTTAGCTGCGCGGTGATAAAGTGGGTCTGATGCGCGGTGGGCGGAGCTACCCGATCCTTTCTTTGCCTGGAACAATGGCAGCTATATCTGCTGTGATCAGCGGGTAAAAAGTAGTTTGGATCTACGTTGAAGTGAGAAAGTCCTCCTGAAAACATGGTCTGTGCAGTCAGTTCATCCAGATTACCATCCTGCCTTCAAAGATTATTTCTCTGTGGGAGCCGCTCAGACCCCCACATACCGGCGCTGCGCTGTCACTGGGAATCCCCAGCAGCAGCTGCCTCAGGCCCGCTCGCCTCTTGGGGGTTTTCCCCTACTGTTGGTGGCGGCTGGAAGTAGATGTTAGCGTTTTTCAGGTCTGTGCTACAAACTGGATAATAAAAGCTAATAATTTTTCTGGCTGCTCAAAACGGTCTGCAGGATGTTATGTATTGACATTACATGTAAATCAGCTGCTTCTGCTGCCTCTAATGCGTACAGTCTGAACGTAGCATTGCTGGGATTTAGGTTCAACTCTGGATGAAGCTAAAACAACAGCTGTATTTTCCAATCACTGATAAAGTAACTAACTAACTGTTAAGTTAAATAGTCCAAGTGTCAATTCAGCTACGGTTCATGTAAATTTAGTCCCATGTCTTCCGTAGAGAGGCCATAACAGAGGCACTGGCCCCGTTGGTCCGTGTCTAGAACCACCCATGGTTATATCAGCGTACCGGCTTCAATCTTGAATATTGCCTGCTGTCATTAATGCGGTCTTGATGTCAATCATAAAGTAATAAGTCATTTTCATAAGTTGGTTAAAATGTCTCTCTAAGTCTGGATAAGTACTTTCACTACACCTGAAGGATTACATAGAGACAGGTTAGGAAAACGAGCAAACTCACTTAAAGTCGTTTTATTTGTTTAGTTGAACTGGCACAAATCTCCTTTACAGAAAGGATTAAACTCTTTATTTATTGGTTGAAAAGCACATCCCTCTGAAAGCTGAAAAGAATGGGCTATTTACTTTTTAAACCCTTGTGGGAAACAGCCAGTTCAAGCCGGGACGCCATGGGCTTCTGTCGACGTGATGCAAGAGATAGAGACGCAAAAGCAATGGAGATAAAGAAAGGAATACTGTTGTAACTTTATCTTACATGTGATTTGATGCCCATTCCCAGCTGCTAAATATACTTACATCGTGTCACAGTATCTCTTCATTGTATGGAAAGTATGACTCTTTTGGTTTTGTTGTTTGTCGGTATGTCAGTGTGTCACCATGTGTGCATATCTTTGGCGTATTCACAGAGTTAGTCTTCATTTTGATCCACTTTAATAAATCCCAACTCTACAACATTTAGCACTAACTGTCATTTGCAACGACCCCAATGCAGGAAACCAGGGAGGTAAAGTTATGAAAGATCCAAGTCAGAAAAGCAAAGCAAATCCAGAGACGGAATAAATCAAAGGAGTAAACGGCAGAACAGAAACCAAACAAACAGAACCGCCAGCGAACAAACAGAACCTGATTCAATAGAAAACCCAAAACCAACAGATCATAGGAAAAATGGAACACAAGAAAACAGACTTACCAAATAAAAATAGTTAGGGGACGTGGTTCTTTTACACAAAACATTTTGTAAATGGAGATTTGGAAAAACTGCGAAACAGAAATGAAACCTTGAAAAACTGATTAATCAAGAAGAGATTTTTCTATTTTCTTTTTTTGATTGCTTGCAAAATTAAATAAAAAAGTGAAAGAACA